AGGAGGTAAGAGCTTGTGGGGAAGTTTCGTTTTGTCTTTATGGCCAGTGCATGTAACTCCCAGTAGCCCTGTATATGGACCCATCTGTAACTACCACAGGGAGGCAGGTGAAAGTCTGGTATACTAGACCAGGATGAGATCCCATTCTTGCCACTGTTTTATCACAAGACCACTCTCGCATGTATTCTACCTGATGGACAAGATTTGCCTGTGCTTTTGTCATTAAAACATGTATCTTATCGCCCTTAAAGTTATTTTTTCCTACAGTCCTTGTGGCTGCAGCAGCCACGTGATGATTGTTCTGAACCCTCAGCTACTGCCTATGGAATGGACGAGCTATTGACTTAATCTGCGTAAGACTTTGAACCTAGCTGAACCCTCTGGTTTGTGGATTGTCATAATTTCATTGCTCTTGCTATTGTTACGTAATTAGTCTGGTCTCAATACTCCAGTTTTCTCTCCCAGGGACCATTGCAGAAGAAGGGGAACAAGTAGATTGTAAAGTGAGATTTCTGGAGGGGTGGCCTGTGGTAAAATTATAATATTTCCAGATTATCCTGGTTTTAGTACATTAGCATATCCTCAGGGGTGAAGACAAGTTCATCTCCTTGTCAATGGGTAATTACCTGGGCAACCAAGGGCGTGTCTGGACCTGAGCGTTTAAACGGATGGGCTGGTTTGCTTGCTTGTCTTCCAGAGTAGGGAAGAGAGAAGATGCTGGACTGCCATAATATCAGCAATAAACGGGTTTTAAACTTTATTTCTCCCTTTGACTGATTTCGGTTTGTAGAGGTATGTTGCCCGTGGATTTCCTCACCCCGGACTTACAGATGGCTATCACGGAAAGCCAAAACAGGTTTTTTTGTAGAAAAATCATCTTAACAGGTTAATTATTTGAACTTAGAGCACGAATTTAGGGTAAGTAAAAAATAAAGTTTAGAGAAAACTGGTATTTTACAGTTATTACATTAAGATGTGAATGTAAATTATGGATATATATATAAACAAGAATATAGTTGGAATCTTATTTTAGAGTGACATTTTAAATACAACAGAAACATGAGGGGAATCTAGTAATCACAGTGTTGCTCATGTAATTGTATATTATTGATACCGAAGGAAAAAAAAAGTAATTAATAAATACTTCCAAAAAAATACAAAATAAACTTGATCTTGGTGATTCAATTGAAAAACAAAAAATTTTAATTAGAAAACATAAAGAATACATTAAGTGATAACAAGCTTTGAGGTGAAGCACTTTTGTTCAAAACAGTGTACATCTTGGCAAAGGCACAATGGTGTATTAAATGTTCCATTTGAATCCTGAATTCTTCTCTTCCTAGGAGTGTTTTTTGTTTGCTTTTTAACCAATCTGAGTAAACTTTTATGTGCTTGTGCTTAGATATACGCAAATAAACCATAGAGCAATATAATGAGAAATTCAAAGTCTAATTTCAGCTCTAAGGTATATTTACCTTATCAGCATAAATAAGACAATACCTATTAAATTGAATTTACTACATTAACAAACAGTAAGAACTTCTTAACAAATAAACAGACTAAACATACCATTATTTTGTAGCACATTTGTGTTTCCCTGTAGCTCACAGTACTTGGTAGAGTAAGAGCTGTTTGTAGTAGAAACCGCCTTTAGAAAAGTCAGGTAATTGTGCTGCCTCACAGGCTTAAGGAAACTGGGAGGCAATCCAAGACCTGCCTGGTCTTCAAGGCCCACACATACATATTACATAACCCTTTTATAAATATAAAAGTGGTAAAAACAACCATAGCTATTTGTATTCTCCAAAGACATCTATATGTTCACCAATCTGTTAATCTAGTATAAAAGCTGTGTAAAAATAAGAGACTTTCATAGATCAAAGTGTTTTTAGTGTTGCACATTTTGTACCCTCCAATTGTCCAGATATACAAAGATTAGGCATTAATTTACTCACTTAAACATTCATCTAAATTATTAAGTTATCTTTAAACTATAAATTCAGTATTTAAGCTTACACATTGAGTCCCTATGATTTATAACATTATAAAAACGAACTCCATTTTAAAAATGACATTATCTATTATGATTTAATTTAGTTCAGTATATAATTTATAATTGTAAAATTTTAAGTAAAATGATGTTTACTTATCTGAAAACCTGGTAGAATAAATTTATTAAATTCAAATTAATTAGTTTTTTTTAAGAAAATAAACTCTAGGATATAGTCAATAATTCTGTAACATCTTTGTACATTGACAGTAAAGAAAAAAATGAAAAGAAACTCTAGACTTATAGACTAGAATAGTGTGCTAACTCTTTTTACATTATGAAAATAATAAAAAAAGATATAAAGCCATTTTTCTACAGCAAATTATAAAGCCAACACATTTGTCCAAAAAGTTATCTTGATAGAAATGTTTTTTCCTATAAAATTACATATCATTAATTAAATTTTTTAAGTTATTATCTTGTAACCTGTTACCTAAAGCTGTTAATTAACTAAAGTCAGTTAAATTTTATTTTTTGTTGAGTTAGTTTAAAGAAGCAGCACATTTAAAACAGGAGAATTTGTTGACTTGTGTCTCCTATTTTAATTTGATGTGTTTTTTAGTCTTTATATAAGCTATTTAAAATTTAAGGTTTTACATCATAATTTATTAATTTCCTGCCAAGTTAGACAGTTTGCTCAAAATTATTTGTATTTATAAACAGAAAATGTTCTGTCACTGTGCAAGTTCGTGGAGGTAATTGTGAACCTGGAACAAAATTCACTGTAGGTAAAAACAGCCAGATTTATGCTGATCAGTTAAAGAAACAAATGTAATTCCAATCAGATCCTTCAGGGAACACCAATGCTGAGACTGAGTAAATTCTGATACCCATCTAAGGTTGGTAGGAACTTCTGGTTCCCAGTGCAATATCCCTCTCAATAGACACATTAAGGTTTAGAAACTATTAAATGTTGATTTTAATAGGTATTGGAAGCCCATTTTTTCTGATTCACTAGTCCAATTTATAATTACATGTTTCTTCTCTTTCCTTCTAACCTTATTTAAAATGCCTGAAGGGACAATAATTTGGAATTGTTGAATCATAAGCTTTAGAGGCCTTGGCACAGCCAGAGACAGGCCATTGCATGCTGCAGATTTGGTTTCTTGTTTTCATTTTTCTCCTAAGTCTCTTGTTAGGCTTAACATTTTATTAAGGTCAAAGTTATTATAGATGGCTATTTATATTCATATTACATTTGAAGCAGGAATGCTATTTTTGCAATCATTGACAACTATTTGCCTCATAATGAGTAAACACAAAGGACAGTTTTGAAAGGAGGCAAGAGACTGAATTACAAACAAAACAAGCACACTGGATTTCAAAGGCCAGAAAGGAAAACATCAGCTTCTTGATCCTGTGTTCAGATGCCAGTGAATATCAGAATTCCCAAACAGAAACAACCCCAAAAAGATTAACAGACGAAGCAGATTCCATATTCCATCCTCTGCCGCCAACTAATCACTTTATGTGTACCACTAATATGTACCCAATGGACAGTGTACAATCAAAATAAGAACCAAATTAAAAAGCAAAATTGGGCAACAATAAATTTTAGTGTGAAAGCCCAGAGGGAAGATAAGCAGAAAAGTCAAAGTGTCCATGAGTGGACAAGGTATATTTTCAGGTCACACGTTTGTATTGATTCCTATGACAGGACTCAGGTATACAATGTCTTCGTGGACTCTTTAGAAATAAATGGTCAAGGAGTTAATGATTAGCCTGCTCTTTACTTGTACGGAAGGGAAAACAAACAACAGAATTATGTCATCCGACAAAAGCAAACCAAAAACTCAAATGAGAAAAAGGGGAGAAGGAAAAAACCTTATGGGCAGCCTGGGAATAGCCAAGTTGTTTGTACATTTTAAAAGATATTATCACTAATCAGTTGGCAGTAGTCTGCATGGCTTGGAACATCAGTCCTTGAGCAGAATTACTGGGCACATAGAAAATCCAGTATCAGTTGTTGGGAGTACTGTTGGCTGAGGAGCTCTGTGACAAAGCCGTTTGCCATTGTCCTACATTTGCACTTTCACCTTAATTGGGCAGGTGCTACAACCATTTCTCAGATAACTTTTCCAGATTAGGCAACCAGTTATTGCAGAGCCAGCTGAGTTCAAATGGAGGTCGACACTCCTTAGTATACCTCGCAGATGTTAACGAAAACTGCAGACCTAAGATTACTGGGGTCCTTACATAACTTTGAAATCTAAATCATATAGTGTTTTGCCCAAAATTGCAAAAATCTTTGTCGTCTCTGTAACATACCTTGTGTTTCCTATACTTTCCCTTTTAACGGAGAAGGCACACTTCACTTCTAGGTGCTGAAAATGTGGTCTAGACTTGGCTAAAATATTGGAGAAAGTGTTTCTTTCACCTTAAAATCTTTGCCTGAAGCAAAGATCACGAGTGGAGTGCTTCAGGGACGGTTTCCCAGCCCACAACCTGCCTGTGAGTGTCAGGTAAGGGAAGATCCCCTTGGAGACGCAGTACACAAAGTTCAATTACCTCCCTCCTCTTTCCCTTCCTACTTACCCACCCCCACTTGCTTTCATAAATTCAGCCTTCGTTGGAGATTTCCAAGTTGACCGTTTTGAGCAGGCATATTCTAAAAGTTTCTTACTTGACTGGCAGTAACAAGCTATGACCCACCTACGTAGCTTGTTAAGTTCATACTCAGATCACATCGGACCGATAACCGAGTTAAGCACAGGAACTCAACAGCATGTTTTGAAATAACACCAATATGCAAAGAGTAACACGTGGCACATGGTATAATAAGCAGGAAGTGTTTACATTAGCTTAACTTCTGTACACCTCTGAAATGCCTTAGTGCCATCAAGCGAGCAAATCAAATCCATTACCTACTTCATGTTACAATTGAGGTGCCAATAGTATGCCCTAACTCCAATGACGCGAAATGTTTGATTACAGCTCCTTAATGGATACGTGGGTGGCTCTTAAAAGAGCCTTTGGGGTTAGATGTAAAAACGCTTACTTGGCGAGTCTATTTGGCACTGGTATATTTGGTAACTGCCTTGGTGCCCTCGGACACAGCGTGCTTGGCCAGCTCCCCGGGCAGCAGCAGGCGCACGGCCGTCTGAATCTCCCTGGAAGTGATGGTCGAGCGCTTGTTGTAATGTGCCAGGCGTGACGCCTCGCCCGCGATGCGCTCAAAGATGTCGTTGACGAACGAGTTCATGATGCCCATGGCCTTGGACGAGATGCCGGTGTCGGGGTGGACCTGCTTGAGCACCTTGTACACGTACACCGAATAGCTCTCCTTGCGGCTGCGCTTGCGCTTCTTGCCGTCCTTCTTCTGCGCTTTAGTCACCGCCTTCTTGGAGCCCTTCTTGGGCGCCGGAGCGGATTTGGCTGGTTCAGGCATTATATGATAAGAACACAGACAAAATAAAGTGAGGAAGCGGACTTCTACTATTTATAGGGCTTTTATGCTAATGAAGGATGCAGAAAGCGTCTTAGTTAATTGGAAGGCAAATAGCAAGGTTGTCACCCATGGGCAGAACTATGCAAATGAGGTATGAAAATAAAGGTTTTCTACTGGCTACTTTACTGATTCTTCATACTAGCCAATCAGACAACCGAATTTACTCCCCAGGAAATGCTTATAAAATCAGCGGTGGTTTACTTGCTTCCGGATTTGATCTGTTCTCGCAACTAGTCGTTCGTTTTAGTCGCTCATTTTTTTGCGATGTCTGGACGTGGTAAGCAAGGGGGTAAAGCTCGGGCCAAGGCGAAGTCTCGTTCGTCTCGCGCTGGGCTCCAGTTTCCAGTAGGACGCGTGCACCGCCTGCTCCGCAAGGGCAATTACGCTGAGCGGGTCGGAGCCGGCGCGCCCGTGTATTTGGCGGCGGTGCTGGAGTATCTGACAGCCGAGATCCTGGAGCTGGCGGGCAACGCGGCCCGCGACAACAAGAAGACGCGCATTATCCCGCGTCACCTGCAGCTGGCCATACGCAATGACGAGGAGCTCAACAAGCTGCTGGGCCGCGTGACCATCGCGCAGGGCGGCGTCCTGCCCAACATCCAGGCCGTGCTGCTGCCCAAGAAGACCGAAAGCCATCACAAGGCCAAGGGCAAGTGATACTGACCGGCATCTCCAGTTTCCGGAAGCGCGTTCAAACCCAAAGGCTCTTTTCAGAGCCCCCCCCCCACCATTTCAAAAGAAGAGCTAGCTCACTCGTAGGGTAAGAATGACACGGGTAAGTTCTTTGCTACCCACCGTAAGATGTTTTCCTTTGGGCAAAAAGTCCCAAATGTTGGCAAAATTGTAAAAGCGGTAGGAAGCTGCAAGTTTAATGGATTAACACGTGCTTTGTGTCATTACTAAAGCAACATCCATTACAGTCCGGAAATTACCTGATAACAACGAACGACGGTAAACTACAGGGCTAGTCTTGTGGTCTCAGCTTTCAGGGCAAACTGCTAGTGAGACAGTTGAATCTCCCTGGCTGTACCCTTTTGGAGGTCTCATTTTAGACTAAGCAACCCCCCTGCTCTAGTTTTAGAAGTTCAAGTTGTTCCGTGGCGCATGTACCGTACTACTCTGGACGTTGAAACGGGCCTCTGGAAAGTTGATGCCCCGAAGTTGACTTGAAGCTCAAAATAGACTAGACTCGAATTGTAGCTTTCCCCCCATTTATAAATGAGGTTCGAGGTCAGTTTCTAACCTGGTACTGTTCATCTGTAAATTGGTTGGGTTGGTTAGTTATAACATTTCATGTTCCTAACTTAGAGAAGTCCCTTACATTCAATTAACTGGAGTTGGAGGTTCAAACGCCTAGGTTCCCAACGAAACCTGAAAGGTGATCAGAGTAAGGTCTCAGGTCCCCCCAAACAGTTGCTATGGGCATCTGGTAATTTAGCTACTCCAAAACCCAAAATGGCGATCTAGGACTGCAAAACTAGGATCCTATACTCCGGGATTGAGTCTCACCAAGTGTGTTTTACGGATGACTCGGTTTCTGCTTTGAGGAATGAGCAGGCAAGGAGGCCAAGTGAGCCAAAGCTTGGCCATGGCTTGGCGCATAGCGACTTCAGCGTCTTAAACTCTCCCGGAGCTCCACTGAAGCATTTTACGTAGAGTCGTTCGTGTGCAGCGTTCAAATCCGAATGAATGCAGAGACAATTAAGCAGACGGTGGTAACCGCAGACGCGCCTCCCACTTTTGAGATATCAACACATGTCGCGCTGCTGGAGGCAACCTCCACTGTCTTCCTCCCTAGATGCTCCCTACCCGCTGCTCGCCGCCCCTGCCCCGGCCTCACAACCACTACCAAAAGGAGCTGGAGGACCCGGGCGGGGGCGGTGGAGGGAGGGCTTAATGGGCACACGTTAGAATTTCTTGAAAAGTTTTTAGTAATTCTAATGGGAAGCCAGGCAGGATCATCAAACTGGGGAAGGGCCTCAGCGTTCCAAGTTTGGGGTCAGCTGAGAGGACCTGGTTTCCGTCCAGCATTTCTTCTATGTTGGAGAACCTTGATCCGATCCATGTCAAGATTGCTTTATATGACGCTTGGGGTCCTTTTCATTAACTTTCCAGGTTGCCTTTGAACCCCATCTCCAACGCTTACTACGTGTGTGATCTCCGGGTAGGTGCTTCTCCCTGCCTCCATTTCTAAGTGTGTGCCTTTGTTCACTCTGTGATGAAAAGAAGGGGTTCGGCACTGCGGGTTCTGAAATTAGAGTGCTGGAGTCATGGCTAACATTAAGCCCTTACTGTCAGTCACGTGGTCACGTACTTCCGGGGTATCAACTCATTTAACCTAGCAATCAGAGGTAAGTACTATGCATATCCCGATTGACAAGATGAGGAAAGAAGCACAGAGCATAAACAGCTTGTCTCAAGTCCCAAGGTCAGGGAGCCAGGGATTTTAACCACTGGCTTCCATAGCCCCTGTTCCTTTAGATAGACTATTGTCGGGATAATGAGACCAGTAAAAACTCAATACTTCGTTCACATATTAGAATATTACTAATTGCATCCTAAACGCTGAAGAATTAAGGGGGAGGAGGAGAGGTGATCTATCTCCACAGTACCTACATAAAAACAGGAGGTCAATCTTGACAATGTGTTACCACTGTGAACCCAGAGAAAAGGATGAATATGCTTTTTTTTTGGTATTATTAATCTACAATTACATGAAGAACATTATGTTTACTAGGCTCCCCCCTTCACCAAGTCCCGCCCAAAAACCCCCTTACAGTAACTGTCCATCAGCATAGTAAGATGCTGTACAATCATGTTCATTTTTGCTTTTGTTTCCCTTGCCCGGGGAGGTATGTTCATGAAGAAGTCGCTCATGTTGATGTCCAAGAGATTTTTGCCTATGTTTTCTCTAAGATTTTATGATTTATGACTTACATTCAGGTCTTTGATCCATTTCGAATTTACTTTTGTGTGTGGGGTTAGACAATGGTCCAGTTTCATTCTCTTACATGTAGCTGTCCAGTTTTGCCAGCACCAACTGTTGAAGACACTGTCTTTCCCCATTGTATGTCCATGGCTCCTTTATCATATATTAACTGACCATATATGTTTGGGTTAACGTCTGGACTCTCTATTCTGTTCCACTGGTCTGTGAGTCTGTTCTTGTGCCAGTACCAAATTGTCTTGATTACTGTGGCTTTGTAGTAGAGCTTGAAGTTGGGGAGCGAGATCCCCTCCACTTTATTCTTCCTTCTCAGGATTGCTTTGGGTATTTGGGGTCTTTGGTGGTTTCATATGAATTTTTGAACTATTTGTTCCAGTTCATTGAAGAATGCTGTTGGTAATTTGATAGCGATTGCATTGAGTGTATATTGGTTTGGGCAGGAACGCCATTTTGACTATATTAATTCTTCCTAGCCAAGAGCATGGGATGAGTTTCCATTTGTTGGTGTCTTCTTTAATTTCTCTCAAGAGTGTCCTGTAGTTTTCAGGGTATAGGTCTTTCATTTCCTTGGTTAGGTTTATTCCTAGGTATTTTATTCTTTTTGATGCCATTGTGAATAGAATTGTTTTCCTGATTTCTCTTTCTATTAGTTCATTGTTAGTGTATCGGAAAGCCACGAATATCTGTGTATTAATTTTGTGTCCTGCAATGTTGCTGAATTCCGATATCAGTTCTGGTAGTTTTGGAGTGGAATCTTTACGATATTTTATGTACAATATCATGTCCTCTGCAAATAGTGACTGTTTGACTTCTTTACCAATTTGGATTCCTTGTATTTCTTTGTTTTGTCTGATTGCCGTGGCTAGGACCTCCAGTATTATGTTCAATAACAGTAGGGAGAGTGGGCATCCCTGTCTTGTTCCCGATCTCAGAGGAAAAGCTTTCAGCTTCTCTCTGTTCAGCATGATGTTGGCTGTGGGTTTATTATATATGGCCTTTATTATATTGAGGTACTTGCCCTCTATACCCATTTTGTTGAGAGATTTTATCATGAATGGATATTGAATTTTGTTGAATGCTTTTTCAGCATCTATGGTGATGATCATGTGGTTTTTGTCCTTCTTTTTATGTGGTGGATGATGTTGATGGATTTTCGATTGTTGTACCATCCTTGCATCCCTGGAATGAATCCCACTTGGTCATAGTGTATGATCCTTTTGATGTATTTTTGAATTCGGTTTGCTAATATTTTGTTGAGTATTTTTGCATCTACGTTTATCAAGGATATTGGCCTATAATTTTCTTTTTTGATGGGGTCTTTGCCTGGTTTTGGTATTAGGGTGATGTTGGCTTCATAGAATGAGTTTGGGAATATTCCCTCCTCTTCTATTTTTTGGAAAACTTTAGGGAGAATGGGTATTATGTCTTTGTATATCTGATAAAGTTCCACAGTAAATCCATCTGGCCTGGGGGTTTTGTTCTTGGTTAGTTTTTTGATTACCACTTCAATTTCATTGCTGGTAATTGGTCTGTTTAGATTTTCTGTTTCTTTCTGGGTCAGTCTTGGAAGGTTGTATTTTTCTAGGAAGTTGTCCATTTCTTCTAGGTTTTCCTGCTTGTTAGCATATAGGTTTTCATAGTATTCTCTAATAATTCTTTGTTTTTCTGTGGGGTCTGTCGTGATTTTTTCTTTCTAGTTTTTGATTCTGTTGATGTGTGTTGATTCTCTTTTTCTCTTAATAAGTCTGGCTAAAGGCTTATCTATTTTGTTTATTTTCTCAAAGAACCAGCTCTTGGTTTCATTGATTTTTTCTATTGTTTTATTTTTCTCAATTTTATTTATCTCTTCTCTGATATTTATTATGTCCCTCCTTCTGCTGACTTTAGGCCTCATTTGTTCTTCTTTTTCCAATTTCAATAATTTTGACTTTAGAATATTCATTTGTGATTGTTCTTTCTTCTTTAAATATGCCTGTGTTGCTATATACTTTCCTCTTAAGACTGCTTTCACTGCATCCCACAGAAGTTGGGGCTTTGTGTTGTTGTTGTCATTTGTTTCCATATATTGCTTGATCTCTATTTTAATTTGGTTGTTGATCCATTGATTATTTAGGAACATGTTGTTAAGCCTCCATGTGTTTGTGAGCCTTTTTTTTTCTTTGTACAATTTATTTCTAGTTTTATACTTTTGTGGTCTGAAAAGTTGGTTGGTAGAATTTCAATCTTTTTGAATTTACTGAGGCTCTTTTTATGGCCTAGTATGTGGTCTATTCTGGAGAAAGTGTATCTTGTTGCTTTTGGTTGTAGAGTTCTGTAGATGTCTATTAGGTCCATCTGTTCTAGTGTGTTGTTCAGCACCTCTGTGTCCTTATTTTCTGTCTGGTGGATCTATCCTTTGGAGTGAGTGGTGTGTTGAAGTCTCCTAAAATGAATGCATTGCATTCTATTTCCTCTAATTCTGTTAGTATTTGTTTCACATATGCTAGTCTCCTATATTGGATGCGTATATATTTATAATGGTTATATCCTCTTGTTGGATTGACCCCTTTATCATTATGTAATGTCCTTCTTTATCTCTTGTGATTTTCTTTCTTTTGAAGTCTATTTTGTCTGATACTAGTACTGCAACACCTGCTTTTTTCTCCCTTTTGTTTGCATGAAATATCTTTTTCCATCCCTTGACTTTCAGTCTGTGCATGTCTTTGGGTTTGAGGTGGGTCTCTTGTAAAAAGCATATAGATGGGTCTTGCTTTTTTATCCATTGTATTACTCTGTCTTTTGTTTGGTGCATTCAGTCCATTTACATTTAGGGTTATTATTGAAAGATATGTACTTACTGCCATTGTAGGCTTTAGATTTGTGGTTACCAAAGGTTCAAGATTAGCTTCTTTACTATCTTACTGTCTAACTTAACTCACTTATTGAGCTATTATAAACACTGTCTGATGTTTCTTTATTTCTCTCCCTTCTTATTCCTCCTCCTCCATTCTTTATATGTTGGGTGTTTTATTCTGTGGTCTTTTGTATTTCCTTTGACTGCTTTTGTGAGTAGTTGATTTTATTTTTTGCCTTTAGTTAGTATTTGGTTGGTCTGCTTTCTTTGCTGTGATTTTTTTTCTGGTGACATCTATTTAGGCTTAGGTATGCTCCCATTTAGAACAGTCCCTCTAAAATGTCCTGTAGAGGTGATTTGTGGGAGGCAAATTCTCTCAACTTTTGCTTGTCTGGGAACTGTTTAATTCCTCCCTTATATTTAAATGATAATCGTGTTGGGTACAGTCTCCTTGGTTCAAGGCCCTTCTGTTTCATTGCATTGAATCTATCATGCCATTCTCTTCTGGCCTGTAAGTTGACTGTTGAGAAGTCTGATGATTGCCTGATGAGTTTTCCTTTGTAGGTGACCTTTTCCTCTCTCTAGCTGCCTTTATTACTCTGTCCTTGTCCTTGATCTTTGCCATTTTAATTATTATGTGTCTTGGTGTTGTCCTCTTTGGGTCCCTTCTGTTGGGAGTTCTGTGTGCTTCTGTGGTCTGAGCGAGTATTTCCTCCCCCAGTTTGGGGAAGTTTTCAGCAATTATTTCTTCAAATACACTTTCTATCCCTTTTCTCTCTCTTCTTCTTCTGATACCCCTGCAATGTGGATATTGTTCCTTTTGGATTGGTCACACAGTTCTCTTAATATTGTTTCATTTCTGGAGATCCTTTTATCTCTCTCTGCATCAGCTTCTCTACATTCCTGTTCTCTGGTTTCCATTCCATTCATGGCCTCTTGCATCTCATCCATTCTGCTTTTAGGTCCTTTCAGAGATTGTTTTATTTCACTAGTCTCCCTTCCTACTTTGTTGGTTAGTTCTTGCATTTTTCTCTGCAGTTCCAATAGCATGATTATAACCTTTATTTTGAATTCTTTTTCAGGAAGATTAGTTAAGTCTATCTCCCCAGTTTCCCTCTCAGGGGAGGATGTCTGTGTGATTCTGGTCTGGATCAAATTATTCTGCCTTTTCACGGCAATAGGGGTAGTTGTGGGGAGTTGGCATATGTGTCAGCTGAGAGAATGTCCCTTCCTGTTAGTTTGTGGCCTTCCGCTCCTGTGAGAACGGTGACCCCTAGAGGCTTGTGCTGGGCAGCTGCGTGCAGACGGGGTCTCTGATTCTTGCCTGGCTGCTGTGGAAAAAGCTCTGCCTGGCTGCTGTGGGCATGGCCAGCCTCAGGCTGCTGCTCTGCTATGGCAGGGCAGCACCGGAGGGGGAACCGGCGGGAGGCTGTTTATCACCGTGAGGGGCCTCCCAGCTTCGTTGCTGCCCGGGGGGTTAGGGCACCTGGAGTTCCCCAGGATTCCCAGCTGTTGGGCTGAGTGTGCCGGGGCGCTTCCGTCCAGCTGTGAGGCCCTTGTCCCTTTAAGACTTTCAAAATGCACTCAGTTTTCTTTTGTCCAAGGGGCGCCGGCTGTGGGGACCTGCTCACAGATTTTACTGTCCCGTTTCCCTAGTATCCAGCACACCACGTACTGTGTGTCTGCACTCCCGGTGTGGATGGCTAGGGCTGGGTATTTAGCAGTCCTGGGCTCCCTCTCTCTCCCCACTCTGATTTCTCTCTTGCCGCCAGGAGCTGGGTTGATGGGTGCTCGGGTCCTGCCGGGCTGCAGTTTGTATCTTATCCCCTTCGTGAGGCACTGGGTTCTCGGAGATGTAGATGTAGTCTGGCTGTTGCCCTGTGTCTTCTGGTCTCTCTTTTAGGAATAGTTGTATTTGTAGTATTTTCAAAAATATGTATGGTTTTGGGAGGAGATTTCTGCTGCTTTACTCATACAGCCATCTTGACTCCTCCTCCAAATATGGTTTTGATTTAGTGTGAAAGAAGAGGACAAGTGGGGAGATGGTTTATTTAGTAGAGAGCTTCAGGACTTGATAACATGTTTTATTGAGGTTAAGTGAAGGAAGGAGTTAAAGAAGACTTGAATTTTCCCATCTGAGTTCCAATAACAAAACTTTGTTTCTGATTACTTAATAGTAAATTATGCATTGTGTTAATTTTGTTTCCTCTTCAACAAGACTCCTTCAGGGCAAGGCTCACACCTTGTCAAGTTGTTGATAGTCAGCATAGACCCCCGCATGAACACTTGAAAATTGAACACTGAGTAAATGTTGAGCTGAGTTACTGGCTGGGCCATCATTTTGCTATAGAGGGTCAGTTTATTACCAGAGAAGACTGTAGTTAGACACCAGCTTAACAGGTTGCTAATAACATCTCTTTTCAGTAGAAAATCCCTCCTGATAATCCAATATACATTGATAGCTTATTTGGGGAGTTTCAAAGAAGCACAGAATGTGCCAACTGACCAGCTCTTACCTAAGAGTTACTGCTATGAAAGTGATCTCAAGTAGAGGACATTCAAACCTCTGTCCTAACATGCTTTTTTACCTTCCACTTTGAAATGTCACTGTTTCTATCCAAAAGCCCTATTCACTTTTTCAGAAAATTCTCTAGTGGACAATAAACTCAGTAGCTGTAAGTCCGGGAAAAGGATATCCCAGGGCAAAACACCTCTAAAAACCAAAATCAAAGGGAGAAATACAGTTTAAAACCCGTTTATTGCTTACAAACTGCAGTCCAGTGCCATCTCTGTCCCCTGCTCAGGAAAGAAGCAAGTCAGGAAGCAGGCCAGCCCCTCCCCTTAAACTCTCAGGTTCAGACATACCCTTGGTTGCCCAGGTAATTACCCATTGACATGGAGATGAATGTCTCTCCACCCCTGATGATATGCAAATGGACTAAAGCCAGGCGAGATACTCTGGGAATGTTACAATGTTACCCACAATCATACTTAGAAAAAAGTTCAAGTGATACATTTAAAAAAGAAAGTGAGTATATGACTGAGTAAAGAAAAGGATATTGGTATATAGATTTAATTTGGTGATTTAAAAAGGGATATTATAATTGGTGATATTCTGCCAAACTGCTTGGTTTTGGAATGCCCTATATAACTAAATAATGGTTCTGTCTTAGTCTCACATATCAGTAAATCCCTGAGATCAACTTTTGTCCCTGGTGCCCAGGTGCCTTCAGTAATTGGAAGGCCTGGGTTTTATCATTCTCATCAACTTGTCCCAATTTAAATGGTCTTCCCTAGGACCCTTGAAGTATGGTAGATGGAGACAAGCTTAAGGGCTAGAAACCAACTGAGGCTACTGTGGCTAAAACTGTAACATTTCCAGAGTATCTAGCCTGGTTTTAGTGCATTTGCATTAGCAACATCATGGTTACTAGATTCCCCCCATTATCAAGTCCCCAACACATACCCCATTACAGTCACTGTCCATCAGTGCAGTAAGATACTATAGAATCACTACTTGTCTTCTCTGTGCTATACTGCCCCTGCCCCCCACTACATTATGTCTGCTAATCATAATGCCCCTTATTCCGCTTCTCCCTCTCTTCCCCCCTACCCCAGTCCCTTTCCCTTTGGTAACTGTTAGTCCATTCTTGGGTTCTGTGAGTCTGCTGCTGTTTTGTTCCTTCAGTTTTTGCTCTGTTCTTATGCTCCACAGATGAGTGAAATCATTTGGTACTTGTCTTTCTCCACCTGGCTTATTTCACTGAGCATAATACCCTCTAGTTCCATCCATGTTGTTGCAAATGTTAATACTTGTTTTCTTCTTATGGCTGAATAATACTCCATTGTGTATATGTACCACATCTTCTTTATCCATTCATCTACTGATGGACACTTAGGTTGTTTCCATTTCTTGGCTATTGTAAATAGTGCTGTGATAAACATAGGGGTGTATATGTCTTTTTGAGACTAGGAAACTGCATTCTTAGGGTAAATTCCTAGGAGTGAAATTCCTGGGTCAAATGGTATTTCTATTTTAAGTTTCTTGAGGAACCTTCATACTGCTTCTCACAATGGTTGAACTAGTTTATATTCCCACCAGCAGTGTAGGAGGATTCCGCTTTCTCCACATCCTCATCAGCATTTGTTGTTCCTATTCTTTTCTATGTTGGCCATCCTAACTGGCATGAGATGATATCTCATTGTGGTTTTAATTTGCATTTCCTTGATAATTAGGGATGTGGTACTTCTTTTCATGTGCTTGTTGGCCATAAGAATTTCTTCTTTGGAGAATTGTCTGTTCATATCCTCCACCCATTTTTTAATAGGGTTGTTTGCTTTTTGGGTGTTGAGGCATATGAGTTCTTTATATATTTTGGATGTTAACCCCTTGTCAGATATGTCATTTACAAATATATTCTCCCATACCGTAGGATGCTTTTTTGTTCTGCTGATAGTGTACCTTGCTGACTTTTACATCCTAATGCTGGGATCATTTAGTTAACATTCATTACAGGGTGTGTTTGTTGAAGCATTCTATCACATTCATCTCTATATCCTGGCACTTCACATCCTCCATATGTGGTAGATCTTCAGTGACTACTCAGAAGGAATACGTGGGTAACAAAGCATATCTGTATAGAAATTAAATAATCATGATGCTGCAGTGGCTTGTGAGTTGATGGCTAGGTTATGTACCATTTTAGCCACTCTTTGATCTTAACTCCCAGTTGCTAAATTTGGAGGGAGATTGTGAGCGTGTGTTTTGCTACATACATATAAAACAATAACAATATTATACACAGCAGTAATAGTAGTATAACTCTCTTCAGGTTCCCAGACCCAATTCCAATGTGCATTAAGTATATGTAAGTATATGGGAGGGGGTCTTCCCACACATAACACCAAGCAATTCTTGAATACCAGTAGGGTGTTGGAGAACTCAATTCTGGTGCTGTTTGCCCAGAGATAGCACCAGATTCCCTGGGTTAAGAGCTCTGGCCTGCAAGACTGCCCTCCACTCCAGACTCCAAGCATTGGTTGCAAGCCCCAGGCAGTTACCTGTGCTTCTGACCTACTGGCTACAGATGGGAGGCTCCCACAACCTCCCACTTAGGTTTGCTTAATTTGCTAGAGTGACTCACAGAACTCAGGAAAACATGTTTACCATTTTAATAAAGGATACCATAAATGATACAAATTAACAGATAAAGAGATACAAAGGGCAAGGTCCCAAAAAATGGGGCTTCTATCCTTCTGGAGCTGAGGGCCTGGCTCCATGGCATGTGGAGGTGGTTTGGTTTTCCAAGCATAGAAGCTCTCCCTGTCTGAAAAGCAGGATCCAATATTAGCAGAGTGATAAGCTTTTCTCAGGGGGTTTTTGTGAAGGCTTCATTGCATTGTCATGATTGCCTAAATTATTGTCCATTGACTGATTCAGCCTCCAGCCCCTTCCCGTGGGTGGGGAACCAAAAGTCTCTCATTAACATGCAAGACACCCATATCACCTTTAAGACTGCAGTGTTTTCAGGAACTGTGGATGAAGATGAAATACACCTGGGAAATATATGTTTGGTCATCTGAATGACCAATTATGTATTTCTTATAACTTGTTATATTGCAGGCATGCATGACTGGTTCCAGAGCTGCTCTGTCCAGTACAGGAGCCACTAGCAACATATGAAATTTTAAATTTAAATAGAATAATTAAATAAAAATTTCAGGCATTCAGATGCACTAATCACTTTTCAAGTTGCTAGTTGCTACTGTGTTGGATAGCAAAGATCTAGAACATGTCTATCATTGCAGAAACTTCTGTTGGTAGCACTGAGCTTGTTGGTAGTACTTCTTGTTCCTCTGGGCTAATGTGTTCAAGTGCAATTAACCAACTTCCCCAGGTAGCATCTGAAGATACAGTTGTCATATAAAATATTGGATGCTCAGTTAAATTTGCATTTCAGATAAGCAACAAATAATTGCTTTAGAATAAGTATATGCCCTGAAATATTGCATGAAGCATACTACAATATACTAAAGCAAAAATAGTTGTTTATCTGAAATTCAGATTTAACTAGGCATCTTGCATTTTTATTTGCCAAATCTGGCAATACTATTTGAAGAGCAACATTGGAGCATCTTGCCCAGGGAGCTGGATCCTTACCATTGGCAGTTTTTGTGGGAAGAATTGAGAAGGGCTGATACCCAGAGAAAAGCTAATTCATTATGAGGAAATGGGTCTGTAAGTTTATCTGCATGTGTTGAGGAAGGCTGAGAAAGAGGTCCTCAAATACACTGACTGGTTTCTTCTCCCTCCTTAGGTTTCAAAAGTTTCTCACTATGAAGACATGCCTGAATTCAGAGTATCTGTCAAACCCCTCAATTCTCAGAAGTAACTGGATGGTTGATGTCAGTGTTCTGATACCACTGACAGATTCCGCACCTGCAAATGTTTTCCTATTAATAAACTTACTCTGGGTTTATTTCTTTGTGTGTACACATGTGCCCTGGGGATGAGGGGATTAAAGAGGAGAAAGAATATTACTGAGGGGAAGCTTTCTTTAGTGAAAAACGTGTCTAATTTTTTGAATAAATAATACATTCAGAGGGTTCAAACAAATGGAAATAACAAGGTCAATATTGAAAATCCACTCCTCCACAGGATTACTCCACTGTTCCCTCAGTAATCATTATTTTTCTTGTGTATCTGCCCATTGTTAATTCTTGCAGATGTGAGTCAAGAATGAATGTGTGCTTTATCTCTACCTGCTTTCGTTCTGAAAAGGTAGCAAACTGTATGCACTACTTTGCACTTGCTATTTTCTTGGAGAATTTTCCAGATAGGACACAGAGAGCTTTCCTACACACTGTCACATAATCTTGTACTGTGTGGATGCATTATAGATTACATAACTTGTCCCCTGTTAATAGGCACATAAAACAATTCTGGAATAATAAACACTGCTTTACAGCAAAATTGAAATTAATCTCATATTCTGCTGGGATGGTGGAAAAGGAACAGAAGTTCAAGTCATTCAAGTCGAGTTAAAATTTATTTCCTTTAAAAACTCTGTGACCTTAGGTTAATGATTTGGAAACTTACTTTCTTCATCTGCAAAATGGAAGCCATACTTCTTTCCACCTCTGAACACCTGTTGATATGCAGATGTACTAAAGCCAGGCGAGATATCTGGAAATTACAATTTTACCCACAGCCTTTATGGATAAGGCTATAAGGTGCATTGGCCCTGGAGGAGGAAAGAATAAATGAAGGATAGAGCACAGAAGCAAACTTAGATTTCCTTTAGTTCAGTCCATCCAGGCTGTGGATGAAAAGTCTGGGACCCTGGATCAACTGGTCTTGTTCATGGGCACAAAATAGATTGATGGTTTGTACATGTCCACTGAGCTATATATCTGCCCTCAACATCTTTATCCTCTCAGACCTCCAGTTAAAAACCTACCTGTCATTTGAATCCTTCCTTCCCTGCTTCCTAGTCAGTGTTCAGTATAACTTTGGTAGCCTGAGACTGACCACAGTGGCAGCATTTACATCATGGGAATCAGCAAACGCTACAAATCAGGGATTTTTGTTTTTCCCTGGAAAGTCAGTTGTTAAACATTTGCTGGTTATACAACTGCTTAAACACTCTGTTCCTGCCTGGTAAGGAAGGGCACTCTCCTATCTTTCATATCTCTCTTTGTCTCTTTGGCACACACATATTGGCTCACACTATTTTCCTACCTAGAAGGGTCCTGTGTCACCTCCCAAATGACCCCCTTGATTCTAGGCTGCCATGCAACCCAAGCTCCTATCATCTGCATCAATAATACAGAAATGTATATTTCTATATTTTTTCCCATCCACTGTGCTTTGATATCTACAATTTATGAGAAAGCCTAGAACACTCTTCAGGCAGACACTCACCTGCCTCACTCCTCATGTCCTTCAGGCTTTTTCTCAAATGTCACCTTCTCAGTGAAGCTCTGACCATTCTTCTGCTTCCAGAGGGGGGAGGATGTCTTCTGGGAGAGCAGCCATGGACTGGCAGATAGTGATGCCAGGAGTGTGGACAGGGAGCACAGCATGGCTAGGAATGCAAGGTCACAAGCAGGGCTGTCAAACCAGTGATTCCAGGGACTTCCTCTGGGTTGCCGTGTGATGAACTGGGAACAATGGCTGTTTCTCTGCCTGCGGGAGGATCAGCGGGTATTCCCAAGTGCTGGGAGGCTGGCGTTCCCAGCTGACACCCACACAGAAAATGTTTCTTCTCCTTATTCAATGGAAGCGAACAGCGCTGACAGCAGGGCCCTTTCTGTTGCACAGCCCCTCTATGCACCAGGCTGCCCCTTCACGGGCACATGGCCCAGCACCGCATGCGCACAGGCATTGCACAGCAGCTGACTTCTTCCCACCAGTGCCAGCAGGCACAAGAAACTCTGTGATTGCTGACAAGGCAGACAGAAGCCCAAAATAGGAAAACCTGTTAGGAGGAGTTAGATGACCTCTAGAGCTGGTAGTCAAGGGAAAAGAGTAGATATAAGCTTACATTTTAAGGGGATGGGATCTAACTTTTTAATCATTATTCAAATCACCTTGTATCTCATCTCCTCAAATGCTCTCCATGAAAGCTATAAACCAATAGTTCTCTCTGTAATTTTCCATTTAACATTTATCTTCTGTATGCCTTTCTATTGCTTTCCCACTATCTCTCTCATGCACTCTCTTCTACTACCTCTTTTTCATCTTTTTTCCCACTGTCTCTCTCCTCTCCATTTAACACCAACTATGTTTTAAAGAGTGCTTTGAAAACCTTTCTTGTTTTCACACAAGGCAGCCAGTGTTGAACTATGTGGAGACCCTGCCACCACTGTGCTCCAAGTGTGCCCCAGTGGGATTCAGTCATGCTGCACTTAGAAGTTTGGGTCAGGTTTGGGGTGCCTGCATCTGTGCTGTGAGGCAACACATGCAGAATTGTCTTCTGACTGCATCATTAGGAATTACACTGCTCAGATCTAACCTTAAACTATGCCTTGGAATCAAACATTCCTTGTTACCCAAATTTACTGCTATCCAAACTATAATTGGACTGGGAGCATCTGCCTCATTTCATTATTAGATTATTATGTTCACTATGTGTCAAGCACTAGCTCATTTTATTTCATCCTCATAATAAATTAATGAGGTAGGTGCTCTTATTATCCTACTTTGTGCATTAGGAGACCAAGGCAAGGGGAGATTTGAGTAATTTGCCCAAGACATATATCTAGTAAAGTGGAGGAGTGGGGGAGGTTTGCCGATGAGATTAAAACATAGGGAATCAGGTTCATCGTGTTACTGGGAAGGCAAATGAGATAACACAGGTAAAGACCTCAGAAGAGCACCAAACCCAAAGGGAAGCTCTGAGATTTGCTCGTCACTATTGTTAGCTGCTGTCGTTACCACAATCATTATTATTTCATTGCACAGTAATACCAGTGGAGCTAAGGACAGTCTGTCTCTCTCTTTGGAGGTTTTGTTTCTATTTTGTTGTCACTCCAATTTCATATTGTCCTCTGTACTTAGTGTCTTTAAATAAGAAACACCAGAAATAAGACCACAGTCATCTTTAATTTTTGGGTGAGTTATGATACTCTGGAAGAGAGATATATGGGAATTCAATTTTAAGAAAGTGAGAAGACATTGTTTTTAAACAATTTGCTCTTTTTATTTTTATCCAACCCAAACGAGATGACAACACTCTTGAAGGTTGGTTGTTTTGATTTCTGGGCCTCTGGGATAATGGAAATAAAAGCACAGTTTTGGCCATCCATCAGGCCCTACTTTGTAACGTGACCTTGAGCAAATTATGTTCCCTTTCCATCCATAGTTTCCTTATCTGGGAAGTGGAACCACTCATGCCCACCCACTTTGGAGGATAGATGTCAAGATCAAGTGAGAATAATGTATGTGGCACATGATAGACACTGAAAACCATGCCACTCTTCCCTTTACTTTCCCCTAATGTATGTTTGGTTTATTTCTGTACATATTTGTTATTTACTGCTGCATCACAAATTAGCCCCAAATTTAGCAACTTCTGGGGCTGTGGTCAGCCAAACTAGGTCCTCTAGGTCTCTCATAGGCTACATTTAAGATGTGGCCAGGTCTGCAGCTCAGTGTGGGATTGATCCACTTCCAAACCCAAGCACATGGTTGTTGACAGGGCTGTTCAGTTTTTCAAGGGCAATTAGACCGAAGGCCTTAAGTCCTTGCTGGTTGTTTCTTGTCATGTGAGCCTTCCCACACACAGCTCAACATGGCAGCTGGCTTTCTTCTGAGGGAATGAGTGAGTGAAAGAGTGCAGAGGGGGCTCAAGACAGAAGCCATTACCTTTTGTAACCTAATCTCAAAAGTGACACATCTTTTTTGGTGTATTCCATTTGTTAGAAGCAAGTTACTAGGCACAACACACACTTAAGCAAAGGGGACAGACAAGCCAAGGGTAGGCACTCTCAGAGGCAGGGGTCATTAAGGGCCATCTCTCAGGATTCCTAACCACACATAACAATGTGCTTAAAACAAGGTGAAACTGTCTTCTTGATCCAGAATCCTTAAAACTAGAAGTGTATCCCTATGTCCTCTAACGGGTCTAGTTGAGTGCAGGTACAGGGTTATATGCTCAGGAATCAGAAATTACAGAAATATGTGTTTGAATTTCTGTTTCTAACATTTGCCTTTTACTCTCTGATGCTGCTGTATATCACTGAAAACTGCATTTCTCAGGTTCCCTTGTTCTCTGGTTTCCAGTAGATTTGACTAATGGGAGACACTGTAGAACACGCGGGATCAAGGGATTTCTCCTCTTCCCTCTTTACTTCCCGGGGTTTCCCCAACCTCACTGGTACTCTGGCTCCATCAGATAGCCCTTCTGGTGGTCTCAGCTCCTTCCTTACCAGTCTATATCATTACAGTTCAGTGTGGGGTACAGCCCCAACTCCAAGATGATGGTATCACTTCCCTTTGTCTCTCTAGCCCTTGGAAAAGGGTCAACTTCCTGCTGCTGCTTATTACTTGGGTTACCCCCACACCTTTTTTGGTGTCTCAACTCTTTTGTTATCTGTTTATCAAATTACCTTGATTAACTTCTTCATTATGATATCCCTAAAGCAGATTCTCTTTTTTAACTAGATTGTATCACCACAACTGATGAAACCTGGTCTTTTCTGAGCAACTCATGTATACAGCAGTGTTTGCAGCATTTTCTAGTCCTCAGTACCTGCCCCGGTTTTCATGCTGCTGGCTGGCCAGCGGGTGGTTGGTTTTTCAGTGTAGCCTCATCACTCTGGACTCAATTTTCCCATTTTCTAAAGTGGGAGGCTTTGTGACATCTGTGATCTCTTTTATCCCTGATTATTGGGGGCTCCAGAATTTCTCCATAGGGAAAATTTAGGAACCATATTCTGACTGGGAAATGGGTGGGAGCCCTTTATATGAAACCAAAGTGGGAACTAGGGATGACAAAAACAAACTAAATTCAAAACTCTGGGTCGTGCGCATCACGGAAGGAGAGTGCCACTGGAGGAGCCTAGGGGAAAAGCTAACATGGATCATGCTGGGACTTCATAAACTAAGTATATTGTCCAACAAATAGTTTCCTGTTTCCTACTATACCTACTGTTTTCTACCCAACCCCCAATCAAAGAAGAGTGCTTAGGAATAAAATTTACAAATATGAAAATAACATTTCACTGTACTGGGGATAACAATAATTTATAAAAGATGATGAAGTTAGTCACTGGAATAATGTTACCAGGAGAAGAGACAGTATAGGTAACTTCTCTTAGCTTAAGACCCTGGGCAAGCTACTTAACACTTTTGAATGCAGTTTTGTCTTCAGGATAATGGTGATAATAATAGTACATTAGATTATTATAAGGATTAAGTGACAAATATTTGTAAAGCGCTTAGAACAGTAACTAGCACATAGTATCTATTCTATGGTAAGCTGTATAGATATGTTGCAATATTCTTAGTTGTAACTGACTATATTTATGCTGTAACTGATACAGATCACACTGGGACATTATGGGTAGTATAAGTCTGGAGAGTTCATCTAGAGCAATTGTGAGCAAAGGAAGGTTGGTGGTCACCTAGAAAAAGAATTCATAGAATGGTGACTTATTCAATGTATCTTTTCCACAGATGAGAGCACAGGACACAAGTGTCTCCAGGCTGGAGGAGCTTATTGACTGGCAGACCATTGCAAGAGAAAAATTACCCTGATACCTATGCTTAGAAAGTGCCTGCAAATCTGTATCTTGGTCTCCTCATCAGAAAGTGAATACACCTCTGATACTTACTTTTAATTGCAAGTGTATCACTCATCATAAATTAATCAATGGCATGGTTTATAAACTCAGTTTATGTGAATTGTTTGTATAATCATAGTAATAGGTAACACATATGGTTACTTACAACAGTGTTGTAAACACTTCAGAAAAATTATGTCATATGATCTTACCAACACTCCTGAATAGATACTAGTATTATCAGTTAGATTTTGCTAAATTATATAACCAACAACCCCCAAATCTTGGATTATTTCAGATTTATATTGCATTTCTTTGTGGATTAGCTGCAACTCTGTTCCACATTTTCTTCATGGAGGAAACCAGGCTGAGGGAACATGACATAAAAGGATCTTATTGCTCTTAATAATTCTCCTGGAAAGTGGGCACATGTTACTTCTACTCATATTTCATCAAACAAAGCATTCATATGGCTATGACTGATGTAGGGGCATGCCCTCCTCAAGTCAGGAAGTATATTATAAATCCATATCAATGGGCAGGGATATATAATCCTCCCACAAAATGCAGCAAAAATTGGGAGTAATACTACAACCCACCACACGTTTCTCATCCAAATTTTGAACATAAGAAAATTGAGAAATAGAGTTTAGTAAATTTCTTAGCCACAAACCTAGTAAGAGATAGAATTGGGAGTTGAAATTGAGTCATCTCTCTCCAGGACAGTGAAAGCCAGTCCCCGAAATGGGCCTGGTAGTTCGCACCTGCTGGTATGCACATATATGTATAGTTTCCTCCCAAAATAGATAGACTAACCTATATAACTAATAGAATATTGTGACTTCTAAAGTTAGGTTTTAAACGATGTGTGACTTCTGTTTTGCTCTCTCTTGGATCACTCAGTCTGGGGAAGCCAGCTATGGTGTAGTGAGCCCTTGAGTAGCCCTATGAAGAGGTATGCAGGCTGAGGAACTGAGGCCTTCTGCCAATAGCCAGCACTGACTTGCCAGCCGTGTGAACCATATGAGCCATCAGGGAAGTGGAGCTCCCCGCCCTGGTCCAGTCTCCAGATGACTGCAGCCTCAGCAACATATTGACTTCACTCTCA